AGACTCCGAGATCTCGCTTCAAGGTCGATTGTCGGATCCAGAGGGAGATCACTTGGAAAGAAGCCCTGTTTGATAAGCTTTCTGGACGACCCTGTGTAGCAGCAAACCTGACTTTACGGTCTTACCTTCGGCATTGCTTGCGCGCCGCAATGAGACATTCTTCCCAGCATCCACTGATAGGGTGTTTTGGGCACCGTGACGCCGACCAAGCTGAAATCCAATTGGAGACCTGCGAGCCACTATGATGGATAGGCAAGTATATATATTGTTGAAATTTTCACTGTCGAATCTGCTCGGTCACAGCCACTGCTACCAGCATTGTAAAAGGCTTGGGCCAGGAACTCCCTGTGTGGGTTCTTGGATTGTTGAACTGTGCAACCGCCTTGAATGTGGAAATTGCTACCGAATGCAGCGAACAATTGGCAATCTAGTTTCAACGGCTCGAGATAAGACATGGTATCCGTGCAAATTCCACTGGGGGCCTTGCTGCCCCTCGTCTCAGACCACAGTTGTGAGGCCATCAGAAATGTGAGTTGCAGTCGCATACCAGTGCAACGCACAGGAACCGTACGCGTTGAGCCAGCGTATGGATCAGCAAGAACAACGCCTGCCTCTTCGGGAGGAATCGTAAGTCTAGATGCCGGCAGACTATGCATTCAAGCAATTGACCATATCGCCTGGCAGGCACCTCCAGCTCTGTCTATGATGATAATATACCATGTTCTGTACACGCTTGCGGAACAGTGCACGATTCCCATCCGCGTCCCTCCATTCCTTTCAGTGTTGCACCCCTGACTTTTATGACAGGGAGAGATACGTACTTCATTGGTCGTAGGCGTTGTTACACATGATTCTTACAAGACCAATAGTCCGGTTTGTACGCTGTTTTGGCAACCTGGTATCCAAGCACAGGCTCTGACGCCCAGACAAGAGGTTCGCATTACTCCCATTATGCCCATAGCATTTTGGCTATATCGTTTGCTATAATCATCATATTATTAAATTTCTGTTGTCTTTCACAAGTACGCTAGTCGACTCGGGACATTCAGATGACCATGAAGAACGATTTGAGTGTAGTCGGGGTCCTGTCCTTCGAGAGAACTAGTTTGACGTGCCACACGACGCATATTATCACATTAATTTGGTAGCTATACATATATACAGAGATCCATGGTATTCCTCAAACCGGGAGTTGGATAAGAAGGAAACATCGCCAGAAGTGATGTATATGGATCAAAGATCATCTCATGGATGTTTCACTTTTAGGCTCTGTAAGGGGGCGTATACGTGGATGAGACGGGATGTGTGCCTGGGCCATTGGTTCGAAATGTGTGAGACGAAATAAAGGTCGTGTTCTCTGGACCCGTGGAGAGGACAAGCTTTCAGCGTTGGCACAGTCAATCCGGGGCTCCAACCATCCACCTGTCGATACTGTACGAGCTGCGACGGCTAGTCGGAAGCACTGCCGTACTGCGGGAAGGCAGGCCGCAATAATGATGAGATTGGCTTCTATGCCACTGTGAGTCTGTGTTAGATGTTCGGCCTGTCCAGTATAGCCGCGAAGGCGAAGGCATTGACGCCGCGGTCACATACACGAGAAGCGCAAGTGGCGCTATGTCGTATGTCAGATCATCTGAGTCCAATAACGGAATCGTAATGTGGAGCCGAATAGCGCTGGCAATGAATGTCCTGTCAAACGTCAATCTGTGCGGCTTCGGATCGCGAGGGTTCAGTGGGCCTCATGCTCACATGCACACCATCACGGAGAGAATGATAAATTTCACTTTCTCCGATCCGGGCACTGGGATCGTATATATCAATGGGAGTGGTAGCAGTACCAAGAGAATGTCGGAGCATATGTTAAGCACGGCCACGGCAATGAAAATGGCGGGCCGACTGATACATTCGCCCGGCACTGACACGTCCCAGGAGCTGACGACCGGCCGGCAAGCAAAGATGAAAAGCAATATGACCACGGCAGAGCCTGCAGTGATAAATGCAGTAGTGACATACCATGCATAGCGCATGTATCGTTTCCCGTTGAGAATACGGTTGAGAAAGATCAGATGAGCGGTCCTGGCAAGATACAGACCCATGATAAAGAGACATGCGGCTGCTAGAAATAGCTGGTTTAAGAACAATATGAGCTAGGAAAACGCCTCAGTGTGAACAACCCTACCTTTTCATATAAATTTACTTTTTCGGTACTCAGTTCTTGAACATGTGTTCCCAGTCCAGCATGATGTGAGGCGTCTGCTTTGTTAGCCGTTGAGAGTGACGCGGCTGGCTCCGTGGGTTGCTACTCACAAAGAATCGAGACTTGGGTGCTGATGCAAACTATCTAACACGATATAAGCAGCCGTCTTTCTCCTAATATCTAGAGACGTACCCATGAGAGGATGAGACAAACTATCATGTTTCTGGGTCAATAAAGACGAACTAAGTCAAGAGCCGGGCAATACCCATCTCACCGATTGGCGAAACATACCATCTTCCGGATAAAGTCTATTGCCCAACCGCCGCCTCACTAGCAACCTCACGATCAAACATGTGAGGCTGGTGATCATACCTATGGTCAGAACAGCCTGTATTGGTACAAATAGATTCCCCTCCGGCATTATTTCGTCGGAATTTACCCAACGAGACAGATACGGCTTCGGTACTACTGTGGGTATCGGAGTTCTGCCCTGCATTGTTGCTCTCAAGGTTGCTGCCTCACACTCATATTTATAGGAATTTCCATCTTATTTTCGTGGCAGTGCATGCTCCAAAATTGTCTGATTAGAGAACAAAACTCTAGTTCGGCCTGAAGCGGCATGAAAACGCAATAATTGGCTGCCATTTGTTCGACCATGTGTTGGTCGATACAAAATATTCTGTTATAAGGATGCTAGACTCTGTCGGGCAGTGTAATGTATGATCTCTAAGCTGTTGATCGATTAGAGCTGGAATGGCTAGTAAGAAAAAAGTCCAACGCGGAAATAGGGACTGTTGAACCAGAAACCAGGTTTATACTGCCTGCTCCACCACAATGCACGGATGCTACTCCTTGTAATAATAGGAATAGAGTATCAAGCAAATGGCAATAATGACTGTGTGGCTTTACTCATTTCGGCTCCTAGGTTGAGCATACGTGGGGTGTGATGAGTATCTCGCAAGGACGCCAAGGGAGATGCGTTTCACATCGCTGCATGACAATCCACTGGCCGTACTTCCACGCACAGGAGGTTAATGCCAGGTTGCCGGTGGTCTCAGCTGTTACACACACACTCACGCACGCACGCACACGCACACAATTCATTAACGCCCGGCGGCTCAGCCGAAAGGGCAACTATCACTAATCTATCAACACGAAATCTAGTGTACATCCGCAGTCCTCCTTCGAGCCCAGACATAGATCCTTTCAGTATATGTCCACTCAGCTGTCAATATCGTAGGAATCCCTGTGGGTTAGTAGTTTTGTTAATAGACTGGCTTGAAGGCGCTTCTTCAAGTGTTCAACATCCTATCCTCGGCAGTTGAAGCGCGTCTACCATCTGTGGCACAAGGTGGTTGGTGCAGGTTAGTTAGGGGAAGGGTGTCATTATCTCGGTTGACATGGTTAGGTGGCGTCTAGTCGGCCCGTGGCGATGGCAAATCGTATTGACGCTCGTACTGCCTCCAAGTTCGGCGTCCATTGCTGATCATCGGAAGGCGATTTCCCGCCCAGGCATAGGGAGAGATTGCCCCGCTGAGTTCGAGTACTTTGTAGCAGTGCGATCCGTTGCGCAGTCCACTTCCGACACCGGAAGAGAAAATGCTCCACGGTTTCTCTTGCTTGTCCGCATGCACACTGGTCTGTCTGCGCGACATTGATCCGGTAAAGATATCCATTTGAATCTTGTCATGCCGGTCCGGAGTTGAGCCAGCACGGTTGCTTCTTTCCATGATAATCCCTCATACAGTTGTCGGGTGTGCTTTCCTGGAAGTGCTGCATCCACTCGTTTGGCGTGTCTCCCTACGTCCTCTGGCAAGGCTTTCGTGGTGACTGCTTGGGATCGTGCGTGGTTCAAGGTTGTTGACTTCATTCTGGAAACCTGTGCTTGTGGGATAGCGTCCTCATGGGTCGCGGCCCTTGCCTGCTCCTTAGCTAGGCCCAGTAATTTGTTGTCTTCGCTGGTAGGGACCCAAAGAATCTTGATATGGTTTCCTTTTCTCCGCAGTCTGTTTATTAACTTGTACGTCAGGCAGACGAACTCCTGGCCTGACTGTTGCCGAGGGTTCTGTATTGTGAGGGCCGCCGCTTTGTTGCGGATGAGCAACCTGAGCCCGAAACCTTTCAGTCCCACCAGCCTGTTCAATGTATGAGCTATAGCCGCTAACTGTTACATACAGGTGTCTTGCACAATCACGATGCCTATCCCAGAGTCCCCAAGCTCTTTCGCAATCCCTAGCCTTGATACACTAGTCTGCATACGGTTAGGCGGGCATATTAGTGCGCTTGGCAACAATGGACGCGTTTTGTAATTTTGATACTTTTACTTCTTAATCTTACAGTAGTACATGTCAGAGGAATACCGGAATTTAGAAGCTTCCGTGTCCAAACAACGCTCCAACAGGGACACCTTACTGTTGCTTTCCGAGATGCTTTTTCAGATAAACTGTTTAGTCGCTACTGGGCTTTACAGCATCGTCAGTTTAGGTGCACTTCTAATGAAATTATACGATAGATCGGTACCTGCCAAGACTATTTGTATTCCGGCTAACCAGATATAGATTAGTGCAGGTGTGTTATGTTTTGGAAGGAGTAGGAAGAGTAAGCGGTAGGTATGGTACAGTAGTTTGTGCAGGGTAGGGTTAGGAAAGAATATGGAGACCCTGGGGTAGGCATGGTAATTGTGCAAGATCCTGTATACGAAGTTCTCACGCACGAGATATGCTCATTATACTCGATATCCGGGCTGCTGTTGCCATACACCATTAAGTCTAAATTATAGTCGAATAAGACAGGTATAGGAGCAGACATCTCCTCATGACATGGCAGGCACCGAGGCAAGCAGATGACTTTGAGGCCATGCGAAGTGTGGCTGGCATCTTTGTGCATAGTACGGAATATATTCTTTGTACTGGTCAGTAGTGGAGACAGGTAATAGTACATACATCTTTCGATTGCGGCTAGACTAGCGAGCTTAGTAAGGAAGGTGTCATATTATGGAAAATTAGTAGTCAAGTACATCGAACCGCCTTCGGACGGCATATTGCGCGAGAATGCTCTTTCACGCCTTATGTATGGCCAATTTTCGACTAAGTCTCAACATCACTAGTTGCCATGTCACGCTTCGGTAATCGAGTTCTTAACCGCTGACCATTTTGCATCAACACCCACGGAAGAGGGAGAAGCAGCAGAGAGATCAGCGCAAAGGTGCCACTTGCCCAGTGTGCTCCCAGCCGCTCATACATCTGTATCGTGAAAAGAGGGCATATCGCGCCAAGGCTGTATCTAATCGCTCCATTCGCTGCAATGGCTGATGGAAAGTAAGCTCCAGCACTCTGCATCAGATGACTTTCTCACTTACCAGATGCAACAACCCGATGATCGTAGACTTGCATTATGTAGTTAATAGCGGAAAGCTACAGTCCGTTAGTCACTTCCATCTATTGCCCTCAGACAATGACTTCTCACGAAAAGCATAAAGGCGCCACCGCCGATGGGTATACCTGCAGCAACGAATACTGCCCAGCTTGCACCCCTGCGGGCGGAGAACGCATACCTGAGGTAGTAATCATCAGTACAACACATCAAAGATGCAAAGGGCCATACCATGTTTCACCCGCGAGAAGGAGAACGCCTCCAGCAATGCCTGGAATTAGTCCATCCTCCGGTCGTGAAAGACGTTGTTGGCAACTCTTCAGGCGCATGCGTATCACTGCTTCTAGCATCAAAAACAGCAAAATAGCACAAAAATAACCTATAGCTAGACTCAGAAGACATAGGCTTGACTGCGGGTTGTGGAATGCGTAGTCAAGAGTTAATATGTACGAGAAGCTAGAGAAGAAGCTGAAAATCATTGCATAGCCAAAAGAAGTGTGTAAAGTCAAAGCGAAGATTATGGGATCGGAGCAGAGCATTTTCAGAGGGAGAGACAACGAGCGTTGTAGATGCCTTGGCGGCCCGTCTCTCGAACGCTTCGCTGTCGAGGTCTCCCGCATTCCCAGGATCAATATCCAGATGGGAAATCCAACGAGCAGCAAGAACCACTGCGTCCATCTCCAATCATTATTGAAGGCTTCTAGAAAGTAGGCCACTATGAACGGCGCCAAGCTGGGGGCTAAAAATGGACCCAGGACGAACATCAGCGATGCAGACGCACGCCCCCGCCCATGAGGCCAGACGTCAGCCACTGTTCCTGCACCCATGGCAATGCCGACAGAACCTAGCATCCCGCTTAGGAATCGACAGATGAGATAGCTAGCAAAGCTTTGGGCTGCTCCAGCCCCGGCTGCAAAACTTAGTAGGGAAGTTGAAGCAAGAATATAGATCCATCTGCGACCGTATGTTTCTGAGAGAGGAGCGAAAAGAAGGGGGCCAAGCGCGAGGCCAATCGTATAAAGAGTGATGCTCATTGTAGCCTCAAGTCGGCCAACGCAGAATTCCTTCATAATAATAGCAATAGCAGGCTCGGGGACAGAAGTTCCCAAAGTACTGTATCGTCTCAGTGTTTCGGAAGTTGGGTCAATGAGACCAGACTTACATCAGGAACGCAAATAGGCAGGGAGTTATCGCATGGTATAGCCGTTTACCGGTTGTCCAGTTATCTGTTATTGATACCTGTAGATCTTCTTGTCGAACTTCTTGCTTCTCAATGGATTGCATGTTGGGGAGGGGTTGGCGTTCTGTCGATCTCCGTTACTCGAAGCTATCGCAATGTAGGTTGAGGTCTTGAGCTAAACAGTCAATGTATAACTGCTTTAATCGCCCTTACAGTCGGATATATTCAGATAACATTTTTCGTGACGAACATCATTGTGTACACGACAGTTCAACTGCTTGAACCGACATGCTCTAGTGTATCAGAATGTATCCTTGGCTAAGTGGCTAGTAGCATTTAGTGCGGAAAACAGCTTTTGCTCAAGACCTTCTCTTACTGGGCAAAAGCTAGTCTAGTACTACAGTAGAAACTCGAGGCATCTCGAACTCGCGGGAGCAGCCGCGTAATCATAACCGAAGCACACAAGTTGAACATGTGCAAATCGAAATTAAGTGCGTAATAGTCAAGCTTTTAGTGAGTCACTAGCAGGGCCATTCAATCATATGCTTTTCATTGATTCACAAGAGAACGAAATTCCGCAGATTACATAATAGTCACTGGCGTTGCACACACACAGGCGCCAGTAAGAGCTTCATATCAACCAGCTCCTTTAGCGGAAAATCCAAGCAGTTCGGCATATAAGCTTAAGAGAGAGGCAATTGCGCTCCCCAGTGTCACAAAGTATAGTGCGAATTACACTGTCTTTTGGCTTTACCTTTCCCCATATTGTTGTCTTCCAATCCCACTGTCGTGATACCTTAGGATTTATTTCGTGATGGTGACAATCCGGATCCGAGGCAGTGATCTTCTGATCATTACTCTCCGCATATTTACACTTATTTATCTCACCTTTTTCTCGGCCAATTATTTCTACAACTTTATCACCCTTCCGTTGGATCAAGTTCAGAATGCCTTCCCCGACGCCCTCGTCCTTCTGTCCTTCTTTATTGCTGCCTCAATCCTCTCTGTGCTTTCAATTCAAGCCCGCCTAAACCATGGCACCGTTCATCTTGAACAAGCTGCTGTGATCACCTTCTTGGCCATTGCAGATGCTTCGTTTATTTACATCCAGTTCCATCACGACAAATGGATTATCTTGTTTTACGCCTCCATATTGCTCATAATGGCTACGCAATGTCTATCTCATTGCCTCAATATCCAGGATGGCATTTTCTTCAATTTTGCTTCCATTTGCCTAACTCACGGGATATTGACTTTGATCCCTGCTATCCATGCGAGCTTATGGTCATCAGCCTGTCGACAGTCAATGTTAGCATCATATCTCATTTTCATGGCCCTCAATGCCACCGGATGCTTGAGTTTCCTTTTCCAGATACCCGATCGCTTTGGATTTGCCGGATCCAGTAAATTAGTCCTGCATTTGTGCACAGCGATGGGGACCGTCTACCTGTTTAACGCCCTCCTTGATGCTGTAAACGCAGGAAATGGCACGGAACTGGACGGGTGCCGAAGGAGTTTCTGGTAAACCATTGTTCGTATAGGGAACTGGGGTTTGCCACCTATTGAAGATCAGAAGAAACTACCATGAAGGTACAGACTTTCCAGATATTGGCTTTATATACCACCTATTCTCTTTTAGTCTTTCCCAGACCCTTGTACCGTAACACAAATGCCCCACAATTGCGGGGCACTTCGGCCTATTCAGAACTTGAGTGGCTAGCTCTGATCAGTGTCTAACCATAGGAGGGATAGTGTCCGTCAGCATGAGGGTTAGGGAAAGAAGAAAAGTGAATTGGTGGTAAAGCCCATATTTGGAAAGTCTGTAAAATAGAGAGACAGGTTGGTACTCAGTGAGACCTAAAGAGACCTAGGGGATTGGACTGGAAGTTCTGGTTTGATATCAAATCGAACTGTTGGTGATCGTAATTGTGGTTGCGTTGTGTATACCGAGCGGAAACTAATCGCGGCCCGATGGCGGTTTCGCCTGCGGGTGGTCCTGAGGACACCCCGAGAACACCGGAAAACTCTGCAAGGGGCAGTGGTGAAGCTGGCCCCCTACCAGTGAGAAAGGGACGAGCAACGCGGTCGCAAGCTAAGAATGTGGCCATCCCAGCAGTCGAATTCCCGTCCCTTGAGGATGGAAAAGCAAGAATCACAACCCAAGTGGTGGGAAGCCTGATCAACAGTTTGAAGGATATCATCCAGTACCAAAGCAAGATCATCGAATCGACCCAGCAAGAGCTAAAGGAAATTCGGAAAGAACAGCAAACGCTCCAAAACCAGAATCTACAGCTGATTAAGGAAGTCCACGATCTGCGTGCACAATTTGACACCTGGGCAGCCTCCCCGCAGCCCAAAACATGGGCCGCGGTCGCAGCCGAAGCGGCAGGCGGAGAGGCTGAACAGAGAGTGCCCCGACCCCGAAAGGAACCGAACTGTATTCGGATCAGCACAGCACGCCCGACAGAAGACGCAGAAAATGGGGACCACGAAGCATTCACGAGGTACTTGCCTACCGATGTTGCCAACACGCGTATCCGCGCTGCTTTGTTACATGCGGAAGCCACCAAGGACCATGAAGTTGCGGGAATTGGGACCACTAAAACAGGCTACGTGATTCGGTTTCGAGACGAACAGTCAGCGACAACGGCCCGAAACAATCCTGAATGGCTGGAAGAACTAGGCAATGAGACGAAACTCGTGAAACCCCGTTTCGGAGTGGTAGTGCACCGGGTCCCGACCGAATATTTCGATCTCGACAGTAATAAAGGGGATAGCATCGAAAGGATCATGCAGGAAAATAACCTTGCGGGGAAAGGATACAAGATCGAAGATATCGCGTGGCTGAAGAGGAAAGAAATCCCCTTAGGGCGCTCCGCAACAATGGGCATCTGGCTAAATACCCCGGAAGCCGCTGAGATTATTCTCAACAATGGACTTCTGGTGGGACAGAGATATATCGGGAGCGTGGAACCACATCGGGTGGAACGAAAGAGGTGCCGTCGCTGTCAACAATTTGGCCATCTCGTCTGGTCATGTACGGAGCGGATCCGCTGCGGACACTGCAACGGACCCCATGATCAACGTCACTGTTTCCCTGGGGTAAGACCCCGGTGCTCAGACTGCAATGAGGAACATCCCACTGGAGATCGGAGGTGCCAGAAGCCCCTCAAACCCCGGTCCTCCCAGTGACCTCGCACAATCTCCGTATCCTACAGTTGAACATCATGAAATCTAGGGCAGGAATGGAAGCCCTCATAAACGACCACCAAACGACAAACCTCGACCTCCTCTTAATCCAGGAACCCCCAATCTCCGCGTACCGTACCCACGTCAACCACAGCGCATGGCGACTCTACCGCCCTACTTACACTGAGGAAGCTGCGCGGTTCCGCAGTCTGCTTTACGTCAATAAACGGATGTCAACATCATCACATCGACAGATTCACTGCAATCACCCTGATCTGGACGCGGTCAAAATCTGGACGGCAAACATCCAATATCTCGTCTTCTCGAACTACATCCCGCCTATCACGCTCCTCCAACCAACCCACGACTCCAGCGCCCGGCAACAACTAGACACAATCCAGACGACTATTGAGGAACATTCGAATAGCACACACAGAACGACGAAAATGATTCTGGCTGGGGACCTTAATCGCCACCATCCAGCATGGAACCACCAGCCGATCGCTCCCCGCCTTATCGAACGTGCCGATGAGCTCATTAACTTCTTCCAGACACATCGACTCCAGTGGTGCTTACCGCGGGGCACACCGACATACTGGGCACTACACAACCCAGGACAATCATCCACGATAGATCTCACCGTGACTGACGACTCCGCGAGACTGACCCGATGCCAACTATATCACGACAACTACGGGTCCGACCACCGTGGAACCCTCTCAGAATGGGACCTACAGCCTAGGCGAAATAGAGCACCAAATCCAAAGAGGGCATACGACCGGGCAAACTGGGAGAAGATTGGTCAAGATATTCAGTCCCAGACGACCACCCTATCCACCACCCCATCTACCACTGTCACTACAGCCGATCTGGACCAAGCGGTGGAGAAGCTGATTGGCTCGACCGTCACCGCCCTTGATCGACACATTCCAAGGCACCGGTCATCACCGTACTCCAAACGGTGGTTTACCCCGGCACTCAAGGTCCAACAGGTTGGAGTCAACCAAACCCGCCGAAAATGGCAGAGTAGCTGTGCAGACCTGGGGCCGCAACATCCCAACTCCAAGGCCCTGTTTGTGGATATGCAAGGGAAGCGCCGACAGTGGACGCGGGCCATCGAAAAAGCCAAAACCGCACACTGGAAGGAATACCTAGATAAAGCCGGAGAAGGGCACCTGTGGAAAGCGGCGACTTATATGCGCCCGCGGGATGACTACGCCACCATTCCTGCATTGACCATCGGGCCCGAAGAGGTAGTAGATAATGAGGCAAAAGCCAAAGCATTTCTCGATTCATTCTTCCCCAAGATGGCAGGAGCAGACGCATAACTAGAGGGTCCAGGGTCACCAGCAGAGGAGATACGATGGGAGCCAATCACCGAGCTGGAGGTTTACAGATCAATTAAAGCTGCCAAAGGAACCACCGCCCCCGGGGAAGATGGGATCCCGACCTTGGTTTGGAAGAATCTATGAGCCTACCTTCGGACGACAATCACCCATATTTTTACCAAGTCGGTCGAACTAGGTTACTACCCTGGCCGATGGAAAAGAGCAAGAATTGTGGTCCTGCGAAAACCTGGAAAGGCCGACTATACAGTCCCTGGAGCATACCGACCGATTTCACTGCTGAACACACTCGGAAAAATACTGGAGGCAGTAATAGCCAAGCGGCTATTACACTGGGCGGAGTAACATAGGCTGTTGCCAGGGACGCATTACGGAGGACGGCCTGGCCGAAACACGGAGCAAGCGCTACTGGTCCTCGCGAATGCGGTCGATCGAGCATGGCTACAGCAGCGATCAAGGGTAGCAACGCTTATTGCCTTCGATCTCAAGGGTGCCTTCAATGGAGTCAATAAGACTAGCCTTGAAGCACGCCTGCGGGCCAAAGGCATTCCTACTATAGCCAGACAGTGGATCCATAGCTTCATGGAGAACCGACATGCGAGCATAGCTTTCGACGACTTTGAAACACAACCATCACTGTTGGAGAATGCGGGCCTAGCCCAAGGCTCCCCCCTGTCACCGATCCTCTTTACCTTCTTCAACTCAGATCTAATAGACCAACCAGTAGATGCCAAAGGAGGAGCATCCGCCTTTATTGACGACTACTTCCGCTGGTGAGTGGGTCCGTCGGCGGAGGAAAACCTGAGGAAGCTGCAGGAAGAAGACATCCCACGCATCGAAGCATGGGCTCGACGTACTGGCTCATGCTTTGCAGCGGAGAAGACAGAGCTAATCCACATGACTAGAAACAAGAAGGAACATGATCAGGGAGAAGTCACCATGAACGGCAAGGTCATCAAGCCCACCGCAGCGGTAAAGCTCCTCGTGGTCATCTTCGACAGAGAACTGCGATGGAAGGAGCATGTCCAGCAAGTGCTCAAGCGAGCAACCCAGGTCAATATCGCACTAAGGGGACTTCGACATCTACGACCGGAGCAGATGAGACAACTCTATCAAGCCTGCGTGGTACCGGTAGTAGACTATGTATCTACCGTGTGGCACAATCCTCTAAAGGATAAGACCCACCTGCGGCAGCTGGCCACCATCCAGCGAGCGGCTCTGATACGGATTCTTTCGGCCTTTCGCACAGTATCAACGCAGGCACTCGAAGTGGAGTCCTACACACTACCAACTCGGTTACGGCTGAGGCAACGCGCCCAGCTCATCGCGGCCAGCCTCAGCACCGCGCCGGAACATCACCCACTCCATGAGGTAATGGCCCGGGCAAAAGCCCGCAGCACACATCTCGGACACCATTGCTACTTCGCGCTGGCTAAGACACTACGAACAATGGACCTCCGCCGCCTGCAAACGCTGGAGACAATCGACCCCACACCACTAGCGCCCTGGCGAGAGCAAACGTTCGCCGAGATCGAGATCGAACCAAACCGAGAAAAGGCGAAAGAGAACGCAGCAGCCAGACGGGATATGCCTGGAACTACGGTCTTCTCCGACGCACCCGGCCAGCAGAACCACCTAAGGGCCGCAGCCGTAGCCCTCAACGAAAACCTGCAGGCGTCGGAATCGCGACAACTCAGCATTGGATCAATGGAACACTGGTCGGTATACGCAGCAGAGCTCATGGCAATCTCCTACGCCATCAGCCTGGTTCTTCAAGTAACTCAGAAAGGGCAAAGCCAGTTAGATAGAGTGGAACATCCCGCAACCATTGTAAGCGACAGTATGTCAGCTCTACAAGCGATTCGTAACCCGTCCAACAAGTCCGGCCAGCGGATCATTCGAGCCATACTGCAGGCAGCCTCCGAAATGAAAGCGCGAGGGATCCCCATTCGCCTCCAATGGGTACCAGGGCATTGCGATGATCTCGGAAACGACGAGGCCGACCGGCTGGCAAAGGAAGCGGTAGGCCCGAGAAAAATGCACCCCTTTCAGCCCGTTCTCTCGCGTGAAAAGGGCTTCATCCGGAAGAGAATTCTAAACGAGTGGAAGGAAGAGTGGGCCAAATCTACAAAGGGAGGGCATCTCCGCCAGATCGACAAAACCCTGCCGGCAATCCGTACCCGAAGACTATACGGATCGCTCCCACGGAACTGAGCTTACCTACTCTCACAACTACGGACGGGTCACTCGTGGCTGGCGACGTACGAGAAACAACATGGTTTCCGAGACAACGATAGATGTGTCTGTGGAGCTCGAGAGACAGTAGTCCATGTACTGGTGGACTGTCCAAGACTCAGATGATCTGCGACGACAACTACAGAGGAAGATTGGACCCGCGTTTAGCAATATTTCAAGCATGTTGGGAGGACAACAAGGTAAGGAAGGTAAGGTACAAGACGCCGAACAAGACAGCAGCACCCTCGGGGCTGTACTGGACTTTGCAGAAGCGTCCCAAAGGTTTCGAAGCCGCGCGCCACGGGGCCCGCAGAACAGAACACTAGGCGACTAGGCCAACATAGGCCTCGACGAGGCTCCAAATTCGTCCGGAAAGTAATAGGTCAACGCACATAAGGAATGTATATAGAGAGAAGTAGTTAGGGAGATCCTGCATATCGCTTCAATTTGCGAGGGGTCAGAGTATGACATCATCATCATCATCATCATCATCATCATCATCATCATCATCGTCTGTAAAATAGATCGCAGAGATTTCGAAGTCGCGCGCCACGAGGGCGGCAGAACAGAACACCAGGCAACGGCCAACACAGGCCTTGACGAGGCTCCAAGTTCGTCAGGAAAGTAATAGTCTACAATCAATGCATGTACATAGTGAGTAGATAGTGGTTCCCTGCATATCGCTTTAAGGCGAGGGGCCAGCGTATGAATCATCATCATCATCATCATCAACTGTACATAATAGTACATTACAGCAGGGAATCCAAGGCTAATACTTTATGATAATCCGTCGAAGGTTAGTGGTCTGATTCGCTCTGTATTAACGTCCAACACGATCACCGCCTTTTTTTTTCCCAACCTATGATACGACCTCTCCGAAGATGACCATCATTAGTAACCGGCGACACAGAAGGACATTTTGGTGTTGTCAATACTGTCAGCCACTCCTTTCCGCGACAAACAAGGTTCATGCCACATATCGGGAGAAGCTGCTCCGATCTTGAAATACTCCCTCCCGTGCCGTATATGGCTGGGCTTTGTACAGTGCAGATTTTTCTTTGGCTTGCAAAAGAGTACTGTGTTCGTACAGCGCTTTTCTCAAAGAGTTTCCGAATAGTTCTCCTCGAAAGAACGAGGGTCTCTTGAGGCAAGATAGCGTCATGCACATAGAGCGCTATCTCTGGGATCTTCATCTCCCGCTTGTTTGGGCTGACGAAAGTAGTTTCTGGAAGGATAATTCTGAATTTAGTTGGCTCATAACGATAACCTTCTCGTAGAGACTTAAATAGAAGATCTTGGAAATATTGAAGGTCGCCTGCATCATCGTTCGTCGATAAAAGGATATGATGTCGATGAGAGCCTCTGTAGCTGGGCCTCCCGATCTCATGTAATTTTAGTCCGACAAGAACAGGGCAGGCCCCTAGCTCGAATGCTTTATCGATCCATCCATCGCTCTCGAAAATTGCTCTCCAAAGTATATTTTCTTGGCTTTCACTGAAAAGAAGGCCATCTGCCAGCTCCTTGGTGGAATTCGGGCTAAGTAATGCCGTTATGAGATCAAAGATTTCCCGTGAAATCTTACTCAAATTGGGCATTCTGAAAGAGTGGATGTATATATTGGATAAGCAACCGGCAATCTGTAGGGGTTTTAGAGACCTATTCCGAAGACCAGTGACGGGTTTAAATGTTGATTTTATACCTTCCATCCAGGCGCCAGGCAGTTATTTAGCCCTCCGAAAAGCGTGGACCTTGCGAGGACGCCTCCCATCAGCTTCTGGGCCTTGCTATATAAAGCTTCACATTGCTGGTGTAATCTGGGTAGGATCGAAGGGCGAGGGGCATATCCTGCTTCGGATCATATCGATGTGTCCCTATCCTCAGTGTAAATCTCCTTGAAGTTGTAGGTTTCCGTCATCACCTGTGGTGGGTTGCGCTGGTATCAGGAAATCAGTACTTCTTCTCGGAAAGAGTCAATCTGATTGTTTTGTGATGTGGAACGTAGGGGAAGGATATTCTATGCTAAACCTTTATGCCGATTACGGAGGGCATTAGCTTTTTCGAAAGCTTGAGTGTAACAGGCAAAATTCGCCTGAACTAATTAATTATACGGAAGCATGGATACAGTAGTTGGTCCTCAGTCACCATTACTGCTGGTTATGATCCGTCGTGGCACGAAAGAATTCGCTTTCAGAGTCACATAATACGTGAATGGCATGGGTTTATCAGGGCAAAGGAACATTCGCTGGTTACTAATCCATATTTGCCCAGCTCTGGCGGTCAAAATCAATACTGTACCGGAATGTGTCACCTTAATTAAGGGTCCTTCTACATGTACATATAACGTGCCTAATTATCTGTGCCATTTGTGGAGATCAGTCAGTCATCCTCCAGTTTGCTTAGACGTCTTAAAAAAAATACTACAGTATGTACAACGTTCCGAAAAATAATATGAGACAAGACTACTCCTTGGATAACTTCGCTCGCACATCGCCAGTGTCACAGCGGAAACCCCATTCTGCCAACGTTGGACGCTTGTTGCCGCTTAATGATGGGAGTGAAGCAAGTTCTTCATAGCTCGGGCTAAGACGATGCTGTAGACTGTACCAGCTTCCATATGGTATGCTGCTTCGCTACCTGAGGCGGTCAATCAATCGCAGTGGTCGGTTTCCGCGCGGTAGCCGATCATAGTCACTGCTGTACTTCCATACTGGCCGGCGGGAGGCCCCGATCTGCAATAAGGTAGATCAGCACTGCATCAGATATAATACAGACTGTATCTCCAGCGCTATCGACATACATACCATTTGGCGGCCCAGCTGTTCGAAAAGCGCAGTGTTGGATGATTTAAACATTGTGTCGCGCGCCCCGGTGCAGATCACGACCCAAACACCGACTCCAAATTTGCTGAGCTCATGGCATTTCCGGAATATGGTCTCTCGACGACGGGAGACATTGCGTAATCCTGGGATAGCACTGTTTCTTTCCGTCATGTCGGGCAGTTTTTGACTGGAACCCTGCAGGAACGAACAATGCGATCAATACATGGCAATGCCATATTTTATAGATACCGAAGGCGCGGTATAAATGATCGATCTAATACTCTTATCAGGCATAATCACGAACCCAATCTGACAAGATCTTCTCTTTAGGGTTGCAGCGAGTAGGTGAAACCGCCATCGGTTGCCACAATCCACCGTAGACCGAACGCTGGAGATACGCTAGTCCGTAGCAGGAAAAGCGTATCGCACGTATTACCCTACCCCGATTCGGCATAGCCATGTACTCCAGTCACTCGTACTGATCGCGGAATAACCATATACCCGAAGGTCTCTACTACGGGTCAGAGCGGCTGAGCCGCCTGTGTATGCAGGCAAGTCATCACATAATCAATTAGTGTTTGACTCACGAGAGGTAACAGCACATCTTTGTTGCAAACGTATGCTGTAGAAATACATCTTAGAAGGATGCTCTTGCGTCAGCCCCAAGGCATTTCGTCAGAGATCTAGACCATGCGGTTGAAAACCTGATTCAAACTACGACAGCAGCTCTGGACCGACACGTACCAGTACAGGCACCATGCCCATACTCAAAACGCTGGTTCACCCCCGAACTCAAGACCCAGCAAGTGGAAGCCAACCAAGCCCGAAGAAAGTGGCAAGAGGGATGTGCTACCTGGGGATCTGACCACCCAAATACCAAGTCCATGTTTGAGATAATGCGCGAGAAGAGAAGGAAGTGGACGAGAGCTGTGGAAAAAGCAAAAGCAACCCACTGGAAAGAGTTCCTGGACAAAGCAGGCGAAGGCCAGATATGGAAAGCAGCCACCTACATGCGTCCGCGAGACGCCTATATGAACATCCCAGCAATCCGAGTGGGTACTGAGGAAATCACGGATAACCAACGCAAGGCGGAAGCATTTCTTGAAACCTTCTTCCCGAAGATGTCCGAACCGGAAAGCGAAGAAGTCAGCCCGGCTGAAGAATTGCCATGGGAGCCGATCACCGAGGAGGAGATCTACCGATCACTCCGAGTCGCAAAGGGGACTACAGCCCCGGGCCGAGATGGAATCCCGACCCTGGTCTGGAAACATCTCTGGACGTTTCTGAAGGGAACTATTACCACTATCTTCACAAAATCGGTTGATCTGGGATACTACCCGAGAAAGTGGAAGCAGGCACGAATCATTGTCCTCCGCAGGCCTGGCAAGCCGGATTACTCAGTGCCGGGAGCATACTGGCCGATCTCCTTGCTCAACACACTGGGAAAGTTGCTGGAAGCCGTTATAGCCCGAAGACTCTCATACTGGGCAGAGGAATACCAGCTACTTCCCGACACTCAGTTTGGAGGTAGACCCGGACGAAACACTGAACAAGCCCTGCTGGTGCTCGCCAACGCAGTTGATCGAGCATGGGTCCGATCCAGGGTAGTTACTCTGATTGCGTTTGACCTAAAAGGTGCCTTTAACGGTGTCAACAAGGCCACTCTCGATGCGCGACTTTGCGCGAAAGGGGTGCCAGCCAAAGCCCGACTGTGGATCTACAGTTTCATGCAGAATCGAGAAGCCAGTGTGACACTAGATGACTTTGAGACAGACAGCACTCCCCTGGAAAATGCAGGGCTAGCTCAGGGTTCCCCACTTTCACCTATCTTATTTGGATTCTATAACTCAGATCTGGTTGATCAACCGGTTGACAGCAACGGTGGGGCGTCAGCATTTATTGACGATTACTTTCGCTGGCGAACCAGTTCCTCGGTAGAGGAGAATATCCAAAAGATCCAGGAAGAGGACATCCCGCGGATCGAGCAGTGGGCACGGAGGACTGGCGCGTCGTTTGCAGCCGAGAAGACCGAGCTGATTCACCTCACACGTCGCAAACCAGCCCAGGGCAAGGGCGAGATAATTATGAACGGTAAAGTGATCAAACCAGCGGACACGGCCAAACTCCTGGGGGTCATCTTTGATACAGAGATGCGATGGAAAGAACATGTACAACACGCGGTTAAGCAGGCAACTAAAAGGATTATCGCTCTGAGCGAGCTCCGACACCTCCGACCAGAGCAAATGCGCCAGCTCTACCAAGCGTGCGTCACACCCGCTATAGACTATGCATCAACTGTATGGCATGATCCGCTACGCAATAAAACACACCTGCGACTCTTTGAGACACTGCAGCGAACAGCACTTATTCGTATTATCTCTGCCTTCCGAACAGTCTCCACCGACGTCCTGGAAGTCGAGTCTCACATGCTGCCTACTCGCCTGCGCCTGAAGCTGCGAGTACAGACCACAGCAGCCCGGTTCAGCACCCTACCGGACGATCATCCAGTGCGAGGAATCATGAAACGAGCCATGGAACGCAGCACGCACATTTACAATATGGCACGTTTCCCGTTAGCTGAAACCATGCGCACTATGGACCTGAAGCGGCTACAGACCTTGGAAACCATCGACTCAAGGCCATTGGCACCGTGGCGGGCGCAACCCTTTGTCGAGGTTGACATTGAACCCGACCGAGAGAAAGCGCAGGCCAGAGCCCTGGCGAGACAAAAATCAGCGACCAGCATCACAGTCTTTTCAGATGCCTCAGGAAAGCAGAATCAACTGGGTGCTGCAGCAGTAGCTCTCGACAGCAATCTGCAGGTCCTAAAATCTCGACAAATCAGTATTGGCTCGATGGAGTACTGGTCAGTCTATGCAGCCGAGCTCATGGCAATCTACTATGCTATTGGACTAGTCTTCCAACTAGCACAGAGATACCAAGGGGACTCTGCAACGAATCAACAACCGGCAACGATCCTCAGTGATAGTATGTCGGCCCTGCAGGTGATCAGAAATTCGTGGAACAAATCAGGCCAGTGTATCATCCAAGCTATTCACTACTCGGCTGGAGAGTTGAAAGCCCGAGGAATCCCACTGCGACTACAATGGGTGCCGGGCCACTGCGGAGACCCTGGAAACGAGGCAGCCGACCGGGTGGCCAAGGACGCAGTGGGTATGGAGAAGAAACACCCCTTCAAACATCTCTTCTCACGGGAGAGAGGATGCATACGCAAGAGGATCTATCAAGAGTGGAGACAAGGATGGAGGACCTCGAGAAAGGGAGGGCACCTGCGCCACATCGACCGAGGCCTGCCGTCCAGCAGGTCTCGCCATCTATACGGCTCGCTCCCGCGAAATCGAGCATAACTGCTCACGCAACTTCGCACAGGCCACTCATGGCTGGCGACATATAGAAAACAACATGGCTTCCAGGAAGACAACCTGTGCGAATGCGGGGCGACAGAAACAGTGGTACACGTGTTGATCGACTGCCCGCGGCTTAGCACACTGCGCCAAACACTACGGCGGAAAATTGGAGGAGCATTCAATAACATATCAGATATGCTGGGAGGAGCAGGCCACGGTAGGGAAGGTAGGTTACAAGATGTCCCGCCGGACAGCAGCGTTCTCGGGGCGGTACTGGACTTTGCGGAGGCATCACAGAGATTTCGAAGTCGCGCGCCACGAGGGCGGCAGAACACAACCCCAGGAACCGGCCCACACAGGCCCTGACGAGGCTCCAAGTTCGTCAGGAAAGTACTGTAATAGTCTACGATGAATGGATGTACATAGAGCGTGGAGGTAGTAGTACCCTGCATGTCGCTCAGGCGAGGGGTCAGCGTATGAATCAACAACAACAACTACTACTGTAAGACGGAAAGCCTAAATCTGATGTTTACAATGGGACTTTGACATCGATTAGTGGACGCACGCTTTGACCTTTGTCATGCTCTGGCTGTTCTGTAGCCGTAGGTGATGGATAATGTGACCCAAAATTTGACACACCGGTCCAAAATATGTGAAGCTGGCTGCGCGAGACTAACCTGAGAATTACTCATGCACAGGTCCAGTAACCAGACTAGGCATGCAACCACCATGATCGAAGCTTCGCTATATTTTAACCGGCTACAACAAGCCTTGTGTGCGGCACAAGATGACTCAAGTTTATAACGAAACAATTACCATATATAACGCGCTGTGAAAAGGATTTGATGATGTTAACTGTCAAGTTGACTTCCATGGTCAGGAAAAGGACCATCGGATACATACTACATACAACAGCAGCCGTTATCGGCGTTTTCTGAAGCTGCTTGATCCAAACTAAGGGCGGAGTACAGGGCTCACGATAGTGTAGCTGCGACGAAAGTAACATGTTCACAGTCTGTATCTTTTTATCAAGGTTGGCTTTACCACTGGCCTACAGTACGAACCTGCATTTGGCAAAGGAACTTGGGGCTCCTAGTCATTGTTAAGGGTCCGCAACTCAGGGTATCGATACACGCGCACACATGAGAGCGTGCATTTTGAACCTGATTGAAGGCTTACGTAGCTATATTGTCTTCTTACGTACTTGCCAATTTTGCGGCCTGTAGATCAAGAGGCACAGACGATACGGCAAGTTATAACTTTCTGCACGCGTAATCGTTCCCTATTGGCCCCCCACCAAATGCTGGAGCACTGCTTGATGGACCCTCGATATGTTGTGTGCCACATGATTTCGATCACTTAGCTCCTACACAGCGCCCTCTTCCTATTTCTTCCTCACGGACCTGTCCAAGAGACGGACAACATTGAACCGAATTCGTTTCACTTGTCTTCGTAACTTCACACGGGCGAAATATATTAGGCCAACGAGTCCCCCATCGGGTTTGAATGTCGTTTATTGCATCGACTGCTCGCGTGTTGGACGTCAGAGGGGGATTTGACACATATCTGAAACCAACCTGTCTTTGGCTCCAAAGGCACCTAAGTGTTCTACTGCCTGGTGACAACTTGCATCATAGTGGGTTGGACATTATGCCACAGTTGACAAGGAACTTAGGTCAGTTAATTTCCATCGGTGCGTTGTCACTTTCTTTTGCGGTATTGGTATGTTTGGCGGTAGTATTTGCCGGGTGCACTTCTTCCTCTTCGCCGGCCGATCTACATTTCTTGAAGGTGAGCTCTACGCGTCCATTTTCCAACGGTAGAGGCCTACAGCTCTCGAAAGGTAAACCTCAGTGACTTCCCGGAAATCAATGATATCCATCTTCGCCGCTCCATCGACTTGTCGGGTGCCTCATCAAGCATCACTGATGGGGTAACAAGTGTTGCCGGCAGTGTCACAGAAGGCATGGATAGTGCGGCTTCTGAAGCTTCTACAGCCGTTGAGAGTATCGCAACCAAGGCTTCAACTGCCGCCGGGACGGCTGTGAGTCAGGCGAGCGATGCGCTTCGGACCTTGGCAAAAGAGCTCAAGTCAGAGCTCCCAGCGTATTACACTGTTGGATTATGGGGTTACTGCGAAGGCAACGATACTCAGGTTATCTCTTGTTCCCGACCAAGCGTATCTTTCACGTTTAATATCTCCGGTATTCTGAGATCTGCTTCGACAGAGATCGGTGAACTGGTTTCAACAATTGATGAAAAAGTCCTCAATGGATATTATGATGTATCCAGAGCAGTCACTTCGTTATATATTTCTGGCTTCGTGGCGGCGACGCTCACGGCAGTTCTGGGCATAAGGAAAACGTTCTTTGATGGAGGTAGTAAGCTACTCATTATATTCTGCGTGGTAATCATGTCCTCACAACTCTGGATTACGACAGAAGACCTTACTAACTGGTTCAGCTTTCTGTCGCTCTTCTCATGTCTGCAGCGATCGGTGTGAGCGTCATATACCGCCTAACAACTTCCGCGATCAATACAATCCTAGGCAGCTTTGGTGCTTCGGCCAGCCTTGGAGGACACATGCTAGCCGCTGCATGGCTCGCGGTTGCATTCTCCATAATCTCCTTGTTGGCATGGCTGATACGATCATGTTGTTGTTGTTGTTCTAACTGAGAACGCTCAGCAATTGCCTCAAAACTGTCAGTCGGTGCATTGTGTCCGAGCCGGGAGCATTAAGAACGAATGAGCTTGGTCTTAGCAGTTCGCTTGCCTTCCTGTGTAGAAACAGAAAGCTTACCATAGGATATCGGGAGTGAAGATTTTCAAAAAATTATTAAAGTCAGATTGGTGCGGTTTCATCTCTGGTAACTAGCAACAATTAATGGGCAAAAGTGGTGACACTCGTATCTAAATATAGTATATATTAGCTAAAGTTATACTTAGATAGATTCAGTATTGGACATTGTTAAGGATTAGCAGTATAATCTAAGGATATACTGTACTCAAACTGGTGCAATTCTCCTGATGTAGCCTCTACTGATGAGATCAATGGCAGAAGCATAAGTGGCAAACTGCATTTTCAGGCTAGAGTGCTTGTACTAGCTAGCAATAGATACAGCATGAACCTCAAACGGCTTAAGGACCTCACATATATAGTAATACACAAGGAAAGAAAAAAGCGTATTCCATAGCTAAGTTTGGCGGAAGCAGCACTTATTTAATATAGGGAGCGCCCAAGTCCTGCCAAGAATTTCACAAGTTCCAAGCTAAATTCAATTTTATGTCTAATGGACAGAAGTCGCTAAGCCGGGCATGTGTTCAAAGTTGCGTGGCGATTAGAAAGGGGAACGGGGGCAATCTAGATACAAGACGAGAATCATCGCAGATATGCCCCGCATCCTGGAACATAATACCATCACACTGATCGGCGTAGCACCGGTGTAAGTGTCTGTACTACACGACATTAGTCGTCATATGTGTATCTATCGTTCAATTCACTCAGATGTTGAGCAAAAGCTACGGCACTCCTAAGAGTCGCAATGACAAACCTAGCAGCAAGATAAAGAAAGGCCTTCGTTGTACGTTATAAACATGATGACCCATGTTGAAGTGATAAAGGTCAGTCTCGTATTTATCAGACTGCAACATGTGAAGGTCTCCATGGTACAGACAACAGATACATTCCGAGCGAATTCAATCTCAGCGGACTAAATTGGGTTAGTAGTTTGAACAGGCAAAAGTTATTTTCTTCTCTTACACGAGTCAAAGCAAGGTCTCGCAAGCACTGAGCCCTTGAGCACTTTCAAAGACGCGCTTTGGAAAGCTCCAAAACGCGTCGGACCCGCCAGTGCTTGGACAGGGCCCGATGAGTTAAACAGATCGCTTGCGTGTGAGTGGAAGTGGACTTGACCCACATTGACTAGCAGTCGGTGCTGCGCATAGCAGCATTGATTATTAGCTGGGGCTACGCAAGGTGCAACAATGTAGACCTTGTATCCACTGTCCTTTCCACGGTAAGTGGACAGTTTCCGCAAGCGTCAGGGTCCTGGGCTTGACTTAGCGGACTAATGAACACGTGTAACATTGTTTCGACTAGTCTTCACTGTTACTTTCGCGGGTTATTCCCACAGGTCTGGTTCGCAAGGTAACGAGACATATCGGGTTGGCTTCCAAGTGGATTCGTAGTTTGCTGCTGGAATGCAGCCATCGGTTCTCGAAGACCATAGTGAAGGATAGGAGGGGTCACCCAAAGGCTTTATATGGATGATCTAGCTACCCATGAGACGAGATTCCACGGAGCACTTTCAATCCATGTTATAGTATTCACTTTAGATTGCCTCAAACAACTTGCCAGAGCGTATCACGGCAACGTTGTCTCCGACACTGTAGCCATCAAGGTGATTGGGTTGATCAGTCACTGAATTTGTAAAACGTGCCATCAATCAGTTTGTTCTCACAATAACATCTAGGATCTGAGAAGCAGGAAATCCCCGGCCGGGCTGATCCTCGCAGGCTAAATCCGGAGTGAGTTTAAGAATCGCAACCCGGATAGATATTTCGCCTGAACTTCGTGAGTTGCCACCCCATTGAAGTATTGGCGCAGCTCGCCATCAAGATGTTGAGAGGGCATCTTCCGAGTTTGCGGAGAGTCAAGCTCGATTCGTATTTCCGCACTACGCGGAGATTTAATGCAAAGGAAAGAATATAAAAAAGATTGGCACGGAAGGAAGTATACATGTAAGCAGCTGTACCCTGCCTATGGCCTCAAGTAGGGAAAGGGTATGAAGCATCAGCTGTACCACCATTATATCGCAATGTTCCAGTTCCAGATTGCGCCAACTCTGCCAAACATAGAACACCTCGTGCGTGGGCTTCGGTTTCGTTTCCGGTTTGAGTGTTTCTAAATAATCGTGTTGCTCTGATTATGCTAAATGTATGTTACATACTTCTCTGAGTGACGCACGTGGAGGACAGGTGGTCTCCTTTCCCTAGCTAAAGATCCTTCGCATTGTCCCACCTCCAAATTTCCACTGGTCTGCAATACAACAAACAGGCTGTCGGATAGATAAATCGTTGCCATGACGGTGCAAACATATAGAACAATTGGGTGCCGCTAGCAATACCGAATCGTTCCGGAACTTGAAAGACGAAGTTGAGCACCCCAATAGCCCCAGAGTGTTGAGGCCAACATAGACGAGGTACGACGGTAACACCACCTGTCGACAGGTGGACGACCACAATCCCGCGTGAATTGCAGGAGCCAGGACTAATATTCCATAGCTCAGGTAGCGAGACGAAAGTCTGAGTTTGTGCCGTCACGAAAATTGACACCGTGAGGCAGACACTGCGCGGCCGTGAAGATCAGAGTAGACTCGAGCTATCTACGTATCGTAAAATAACTGGACATAAACAAATGTGGACGCTGCAACAGCCATCAAGACTATCACAGCAGCTCTTTCCAAATGAGAGGTGCGGTGGCTGAGACGGGTACATATACAAAAAAGGCAGAGTATCGAGACAACAGAGAATATAGAGAGGGCGGTAAGCTCGACCCCGGTGCGTTTTGTGCTTGGTAGGCTGGAAGAATGACAAAGTTCAAGAGATAGTTGGCTGCAGACAGAGTAAGATATAGGAGCTTGAACAGGCGATGAAGACGGTGGGGAGATCGCCCCCTCGGACCTCAGATAAACTCCTTCTAGGGGAGTCGGTCAAATAGTCAAGAGGCGTGGTAGAATGGAAAAACTGATCCGACAGGCACCGTGAGTAAGTAAACTAGGATCCGCCCTGTGGGTATGTAGCACTCGCATGAGTGCAAATGCGTAATACATACCAAATTTCTTTGCCCGGCGTGTCATAAAACGGCGAGGTATAGGCCCTCGCCGGCTCAAGTATCGCTGAAGTTCTAATTAACACTTATCGACGACTGCTGGAAATATTATGCTACCGGAGGGAGGGAAGGTATTCACCGTACACTGACTGCAAAATCAGGTGTTTTCTACATGACAATGAACGAGCGACAGGCCTTCGGAGCAGATTGGATTACAGAATTTAACCTTCAGAGCATCTCCATGAATTTCTTCAACGTGTATGCTTACAGTCTAGTTTGACAAGCCTTTCCCGTAGAAAATTTAGATAGGTCATATCATTATGTAGGGCGTGCTTGTAATATGTGAGCCAGATAGTCACTCCCATCTTATGGCGCAAACCAAATATCTACATATCATTCTGGGCAAAGGAACCTTATTCAGATACATCCAGCGACCAGATGAACATTTCAGTACAATAGCACTCCATGTTCATTCTGGCTTGAAGATGAATGCTCTAATCCAACTGACCCTTGAAGTCAATCCAGTGACGAATGGGCCATCGCAAAGGATGGACCGTTTCCCCGCCATCATGAATAGTGTGGAAGGGAAAAACACCAGGGAAGAATAAAGAAAAGAATCTGCCCAAGCGAGGAATTGCGGGCGTGCAGAAGTTTGACACCTCGCTGCCAGGCGAGTGGTTGCGTAGCAACAAGTCTTCACAAGCGGGCGCCTGAGGATTCCCCCAGCCTATCAGGTGTATGCTGGCCAAGTCGTGACAGCAGATCACAACTCGAGAGAACATGTCAGTTTGCCGTATTAAATAAATAGAAGAGCAAGATAATCACCTTGTTACAGGGAGTGGACCGATGAGTAGGACCAGCTGCCTCTTCACTTGCTTACGTCCTGATCAGATGATGGGTTGGGACCTGTCTCATAACTTGGCTGTGTTCCTAGTTGTATGTGCCTGCCTCATTCTTGTCAGCGTCGGCTACACCTGGGCCCAGCTGTACAGGGGTGAAGCATTTCATAAGGCACCAGCAATATCGATCAGCCCCGAACAGGCATCATATATGCGAGAAGTCCGCCGTCAAAATCGAAAGAGTGCCTTCAATTTCTTCTACCACGAGGAGCCGAGTAGCGACGCAACAACAGCATCTTACTCTCAAAGCACTGTTTCAGCACAGTTATGTTCGTTTTCCACGCTTGATCAAAGGTTATCTGATCTGTTAGTGTAGGCGTTGAGTAAAAGATTACAGTTGATGATGATGATGATTCATACGCTGACCCCTCGCTTAAGGCGACATGCAGGATCCACTATCTATACACTCTATGTACATCTTTGAACGTGAACTATTACTTTCCTGACGAACTTGGAGCCTGCTAGATACCTGAAGTCGGGAGAAGACGCAGCGTTCGGGAAGATCCCGCAACTCCTCAGAGCGGATGGGACCACGACCACCGATCACACGGAGCAGGCAGAAGAATTGCTGACCAAATTCTTCCCGCCCCTGCCGGACAACATTGACGATGGAGGGACTCGACCATAAAGAGCGCCAGTCGAGATGCCTGCCGTCACGATGGAAGAGATCGAACGACAGCTGATGGCGGCAAAGTCTTGGAAGGCACCTGGCGAGGACGGTCTGCCAGTAATAGTCTGGAAGATGACTCTATACTAAGATGTCTATCTGGCACTAATGATTTGGTTGTCAGCCGTGCATGATGAACACAGCTTGCGGCTTAATAATTGCTAGCAGCCAGATGCCTAGAATGACCACGAGGGGTATCGTTGGGCAGGGACTCAGTAGGTTTCAGCTACAGTACTGTATGATAAGTCATGGGAGCGCAAATACATACCCAGGTGCCTGAGGCCATCTACTGCCTGATGTATGACTGCCTCAGGAAAGACAAGACTTAGAATGGCAGACGGCTACATTCTGTTGGTCTGAAATATCATGCTTTACCTTTACTGGAGCGAGCTTACTTGGTAGGCGGCAGAGTGTGGCATGGCGGTAGTGGGTCCTATATATATTTAAATACATAGTTTTGCTGGACTTCCTCGCATGTTCTACAGTATTTTCGACTTATTCAGCTCATATTGTATTCAAAACGTAATATATATTCGAAGGAAACGTTACTGCCACACTAGCCTTTGCTCATACCACAACCTCCGCCTATCCCCCGCCTACTCAAGTTAGAAGGTAAGGCGTTGTTCCCTTACAGGTAAAAACTCCCACTGATTGGGCAGCTCTTTCCGAAAGGCGGCCGGATTTTGCGTGTACTAAGAACAAGGCTTATGGAAAACAAGCCCTTTCTTTCAAATAGGCGGTAAAATGTGAGGATCCGATCGATCTCACATTCACCTAAGTATATGAGGGATGCGCGTTTTGAGCTGGTGGCTCGGAATCCTAGTCTTTTACCGGATAGCCTAGCGGTATTGATTTCGGAGAATTCACTCCTGAAGTGCACCAGGAGCGGGTTCTGACACAGGGTTTCGCATGAGTGAAGCCTGGTGTGTAGGCAGCCTGGCTGGTAGGGCGGTAGCGTCTCCCTTAACGATATTCAATCTTCATGTTGAATGATGTAGAGACACAGTCATTGTGGGGCGCAATCGGGCTCTTTACGACAAAGTTGAAAGCACGTTACATCTGGAACAGTAACGTAATTGGCCCATGTTCATCCATCCCCTGTCACTATCACTAGCAAACTATCTCAGGTGATCCAACAATCCAAAACAGAATGACTGGTTTACGTGCTTTATTGCATTAGATAGGATAACTTCTCCGAAGCTAGCCTACTCGGCCGAAATTGTGCGCTAGTCGCGTAGTTGGGTACACTTTTCGTCAATATGTCCTATAAATACACCCCTTCGCACCGCGTCAGTGACATGATGACTATATAGATACACTTCTTGGTTTCTACGCTGACCAAGCAAGTAGCTACAATCGAAACCACATTTATCGTCAACATGTCTATACAGAACCTGCCTCTTGAGCTTGTTATCCTGGTGTATCAAAGCCTGATTAACCTAGATGACTGTTTGTCTTTTTCTCGTACATGCAAATGGCTCCATGGCGTTCTTCAGTCATATCAAATCGACATATTTAAATCAGTCATTGTATGTCAGATAATATTTACCAAGATTATCCTCTGTACTGATATACATGGATAGACCAACGCAAAGCATCATGAACACGACATTGAGCTATGTCTCCTTCAGGACGTCTTTGAACGTCATAGCATGGAGGAAGCCTTTCTCGAACCTGAAATAACGTATGATGAAATTGGAGAGCCTAGGATCTCTCAATTAAACACCGCTCGGGTATTTGAGATCGTGATTCGATGGCATGCCATGAAGGTGCTTTACAAGATCTATATGAATCCTTCAGTACGATCACACTATAAATAGGTGAAAACAATGATTCATCCGGATATGGATACCGAGCTCCATGAATGTGCCACTGAAGAAGCCATGCCAGCACTCACAGATTCGAATCAATGCGTGCTCTGCCCTGAGCGCAGTTACAAAGAATATCCACGATTTTACCTTGCTTTGACATCCCACTGGGTGCTGATTGAGAAAATCTGGCTTGCAAAGATGACACATTACAAGCGATCCTCCAGCTGGAACGAACGCTATGACCAGCTTTGGGACCAATGGACGGATAATCAAGACAGAACACTTCTAGAGAAGATAGAAGTGATCGAAGTTGTTGACTTCATATGGGGATATTTAGGACGCAATATCTTCAAAGGAAAATTCGCCCAATTATCAAACTGGATTCCTGAAGCCGATCTAGCAGAATTCACCAGAAGTGAAACTCCTGAGTCTGCATGGGCTTCTTTCGTTGCTCGGGTTATCTAAGAACTGCGACCACTGCATATCATAGAGCTCCTTATACTGAGAACTTGGAACTCTGAGATGGTATGGGAAATTGATCAGCCAAATTACCTGCGCCAGTTAGGCTTTCTTGTAGAGCCTCAGAGTGTGGAAGTACTGGATGACACTATAACACCAGACACTCAGTTCTCGTTATATGAATTGGATAAAGATGTCATCTACGGCTTGGTTGATATGGTTGGCAGTGAAGACTCTTATGAATTATGCCAGAAGCAGTGGTATGCTTATAAGGATACGCAGTGGAAAAACAACATGCAAGGACATATACTTGCTTACGAGCTGACATCACAGCAGCTTTTCGAACTTATCATGTCAGCTGGTAATGGATGAAATCATGTTACAGTATCTGGTTCTGTATGAGAGACAAAATGGAACAAGATCAAGACTCAGGGGTTGGTCTGCTCGTGGCGCCAGTAAACAGATTACATCATACCTAACATACCCGATATTTCCTGGAGACGTTCTTTAGTCGAGTCATTGTTGTGGGAGACATAATCGGTTTCCTGAACTTTCACATAGCAGACCTCTTAGGGTGCCCAAAGGTCCGTGGTCGTCCTGCAGGCGCACCAGACATTACGGCTTCCTTAATATGGTGCATAGATGGTCCAGGATTTAATGCCTTCAGAGGGCTGATAGGGTTGGGAGTATTTTGCATCACAAGGTAATAAGACTATACTGTAATACAAGTAACAGGCTGGAGCTCGTTTCCACTCACCTGATACACTAACAGCGTCATTGAAACATAAAAGTCAAGAACAATATCGCGTGAGTGTAAATGTAGTCCTACAGTGATTATTACTGGAGATTGCGTGTATAACTCCAGAAATGAAGATAATATATCTAAATTGCTAATCTTCAACTAAATACCAGCATACTACTGTACGAAACCAAAGATGCAAAGCACGGTTGCAGGCCGGTATTGGCGCAGCGTCTCTGCGTGGTTATCCTCGCATCACCTCCGCATAGTCAGCTCTTTGAACAATTTGAGATTCTCTTCCACGATCCAGCCCACTACTAGATAGTGTCGGCTTCGTTGCCCACCACTATTGACCACCCGCTTGCTGAGTACAATGAATTCGTCGGACAGCCTTTTATCGACCTTGTTCCGGTCAGAGAGATCAAGCTCAGCGGTATCCGAATCACTTACAGCTGCCGAGCCCGACCGTTCGTCTGTTTCCATGTCAGACCCCAAGAGCTCATATCCACAGCTGTGTTCGGATTCGCCGTCCGACGTCTCGAAAAGAGTACTGCTATTTGACGTGCCGTGGGAGTAACTGCTGTCCGAAATTGAGTAGCTTGACGAATCAGACATACCGTCGTCGAATAGCAGCTCGGAAGGGTCGATGTATCTCGCAGAGACGTTGTTCGTAGGATCATTGCCATGGCGGGGCGGCTGCATCTTCGCGGACCGCGTTGGACTCAGCTGCTTACCTTGTGTTTGTGGATTGGAGGCTTATCGTGGTGGCTGGAGGTAGCGTTATATAAATGTCCTATGGCAAGTTACAGAGCGTTGTTCGACTTGTGTAGGGTCACGCTATATAGTATATTTCCAACGCCTGCACATGGGCCTGATCTTTGATTGTGGAAACCAGCCGGGAACTATGATGCCTGGGACCAATACTTTTAGCATGTCCACCGCGTTAACGGCGATGTGCCGACCTCTAATAATCTAAGGCTGGCAAAGATGAACAACCGAGCCCTTAGTATGACGTGGACGTGCGAAAGCGAGCAGAACTGACAGAGAGCGGTTTTCGAGGGCCTTCAATATCAGCCTCCGAGGTAGGTTGTGAGACTGAAAACATCCGGCTGAATGATATGGCGGGGGCATTGGAAGTGTGGGGCGGGTGCCGAGCGGATCGGACAACCACCCCGGGTCTCTCTGGTGGAGTCGGATGCGGAAGGTGCTGCCCACCCGGACCCCGCGCCCGCTCGGCCTACGGCTTCCATATGAAGGGTTGTGCGGTCATCGGTTGCGCGCAGAAGTGATCCAAATTCCGTTGGCCTACAGTTTCATCAAGCAGACAGGACAGGCGCCCCCACGTTGACCGACCGCGATGATCCCGGCCGGGTGTGTGAGTATGACGGCCCATCTG